TATCAGTTCTTTTTTTTGCCACTCATTCATTCTTAAGTTTGTCAACACACATTCAAAATCTGATAAAAAGATAAGTTAAGGTCTTAGTATCAGTTCTTTTTTTTGCCACTCATTCATTCTTAAGTTTGTCAACACACATTCAAAATCTGATAAAAAGATAAGTTAAGGTCTTAGTATCAGTTCTTTTTTTTGCCACTCATTCATTCTTAAGTTTGTCAGCATACATTGATAAAAAAAAAGATATATATATATATATATCTTACTAAATCTTATTTCTTTTCAATTTGAAAAACAAAGACTATTAATTTCATAAAAGACTAAGCCATCAATTTCTTGTAAGAATCACCAAGGTTTTTTTTTTCAAAACAATAAAAGTCTGATAAAAAGATATGTCATTATATTTTTTTACTCTAAAACAAAACAAGTGATTTCATTTAAAATATTAAACCATCAATGTCTTGTAAAACTAACCTGAACTTTTTTATGCCTATTCATTCTCTCACTACAAGATCAGTCAATTCATCAGACTGACCTTGTAACCATTTTGTACTCCTTATAGTTTCCATACTATAACTTTTACTGCATTTTGTTTCTCACAAAATTTGCCACACCTTAGTAAACATTACAAGTTTTTGCACACAAAAGTTAACATTTTCCTAAACTGAAAATGTATTTCCAATAGATACTTACCTCCTCTTACAAAAAGCTTTCTCGACTTGTATTGCCGTCTATCAGTGCAAATTTTTTGCTTGCCACTAGCCTTGTTACTCCTACTTATTACTGCCTATTAACATGCAAATGATCGTGCAGCAACCATCCACAAATAGGAGTGCAACACTACACCTATCATAACTAGCACCCTCTCTAATCATGTACATGTTAATAACTTTGAGATTTGTCATAACTAGCCAAACCAATTCACACCAGAAGTAGGGAGGATAGGATGTGAGCGACACAATATCTTACCTCTTCTCACAAAGAGTTAGAATCCCACACTGAACTGGTGTAGAACCAGTGAGAAGATGATCCCCCTTTAGGATGCATCCAAAGGAAGACCATGAGGTGTGATAAGGAATTAAAAACAACACACCAGTGGGAGACCACACTACTTCTAAGCCAGGTATACTCTTTGCCCTTTAATAATGTGTTCCCAAAACATAAAGGGCAGAAACTTGACGGGGTCCCAAAAAAATACAGAAATAATGAGACCCCTTGGTGTAGTGTGGCTATGGCACGACAGACTGTAAATGGGAGTTCAATCTCAACCAACACCTAGCAGCATCTGGAATTGTATAACAGTTCCACAGTAGAAAGAGGGTCCTATACCTTTCACCTCAAAAATGAGTACCGTCAGGGAAGAGGAGCTCCCATACCTAGAACCCGCCTCCACATGTACGAACCTCCAACACTAGATCCACCGGGAACCAGCTTCCAGCAGATGGTAGGAAGGAGGAGAGCCCAGGTGGGTGTTCATCTCTGGTCCAAACCCTGGCAGCATTGTGAATTTAGTCATCCAGTCCACAGTAGGAAGAGGGTACCCAGCCTTACACAAGCAGAAAATCATGAGTCTTTCCAGATACAACTAACACTAGATCCACTGGGAACCAACATCCAGTGGAAGGCAGAAAGAGTGATTGCATTTCTGAGGTTGCATCTCCGGTCCAAAACCTGGCAGCATTGAAAATTTATCATCCATTCCACAGTACGAGGAGGGTACGAACCAAACTAGCATCCGCTACCATTCCATTCCTTACTGTCGTCCTTAATTCATAAAGGATAATGCCTGTGGTCATAGCACCCAAATGCATTGGGCATATTCCAGCTGTCAGGCAAAAGCCAAACACTGATGAAAAATTTGCCAGCAACTTAGGAGAATCAGTTAAGGATTACAAGTTGAGTGCTTAAACCCTCGTCTCAACTCCAACTGCCTTTTTGCTGTCTGCAGCCAGTTGTGGGAAGGAAGTAACCCTTGATACTTAGAAATAACTTTAATGTAGAATTAAACCAACTCAATACAAATTCTACAAAGTAAAACACCCAACCTCCACCCTTTCAATTGATGTTATAAATCATATAATATTCTTACAGTAGAACTATGCCACTAAAATATATCTGAAAGATTTAATTAGGGTCTTTAATGATCTATTTGATAATTTTATAGATGTGGAAATAATTATTTCACAACATAAATTCACCCACTATCAATGCAAAAATATACTTAGTTGTTGTATTTACAATAGTTATATCACCTTTAATGAAAAAGATTATAAACAAACAGTGAGTATTCCAATGGATGCTAATTTCTCTTCAAACATGGCCAACCTGTATCTGTTTTTTATGAATATTCCTTTTTAAAGTAGATTTTAAACCCTAATTTAAATTTGTATACTTTTCATTACATAGACGACTTAATTTCATTTAATAATCTGAATTTTGATCCAAGAATTATATATTCAACAAAGCTTATAATAAAAATAATAACAGTAATACACATGCTCATTATTTAGGTACAGAATACCTGAATAACAAATCCACCAAAGAGGTAAAAGGTTTGGGCAAGTCCCCCAAAATGACAAAAAACAAAAAGGCAAACTAGGGGGATGGGGGGGGGAT